TGCCATCCAATTTGGTAATAGTTGCCGCTTTTTTTTTTTTTTCTTCTTGTTTTTTCATGTCCATTTTTTTTTTGATGATTTTTTTTTTCTCAATTAAAATTTTTCTGCATCTTTTTTCAGATTCGAGATATTGTTTCTTTTTCAGCTCATTTAAATAATCATGTATTTTGATGATGTTCTGTAGATCCTTACTCACAATAGAGTTCCTTAATTTGATTAAAGTTTTATATATTTTGCTTAGGTTATTTCTGAATTCTTTGAAATATTTAAATATTTCTTTATAATACGAGGGGAATATCTCGTAGTTGTCATTTTCCCAAACCCATAGGCATTCCTTTTCGTTATTTTCGTTTTTACTAACATTCATTTTTTTCATATTATCTCCTAGACTTTTCCTGCTCAGTAAAATGGGGATGCTTGAGAGGAGGTCCTCCCTACTGATATGGATGTTATAGTCTCCCTTCTCAGCATCGTCAGAGTAGTACTCCTCATCGGAGAAATTATCCATGGATAAGTGGCATTGATTTTGGTGACTTTCGCGACTTTTTTCATTTTCGTCACCTCTGTCGAGCGGCTCGTTGGTCTCTTCCCCGTTTTGGTTCTTATCGGCTTGGTTCAGCGCAAACGTAGCGTTGCCTCCTGCTTTGTCAGAACTGGGTGCGGTGTTTATAGGGAACTTATCACGTACTAATTCGTCATTGTTGAGGACATAAAACAACAATTCGACCAACTCGGATAAAGTGTGGGAAGACCCTTCGCACAGGAACCTGATGATGTACTTTTCCCTGGTGGTGAGTTTTATCGAATTAAACATAATACTAGATTTTTCAATTGTATACAACATTTCGTCATTTTCATTTTCATTCTCATTATATGCGATACTTTTTATTTTGTTGATTCTTTTAATATTGTTAAGGATGCTGTAACAGGGGAGAGGATTATTCAGTAAGCTTCCTATTTCGGAATTGATACTTGGCAAAGTTTCGATCCATTTATTTAGTTGTTCATCATTTTCTTCATTCAACACTTCACCATTGTTACTACTTTGTAATTTTATGAATTTTGACGAACTCTTTTTTTTCAATTCGATATTATTTCTCTGAATCCTGGGGCTTGCAGAACTATTGGTGGAGGTGTCTACCTCGTTAAACACATCGTCTTGGTTTAAATTTGATGGGCCATCCTTATCTACATTTTTGTAAATATTAATTTCGTCTTCACCATCATTGTATTTACTGTTACTAATGTTGGGAATTTCCGTCCCTTTTTTTTTTTCTTTTTTTTCCTTGATTTTTTCTTTATCCTTTGAGGTATCGTGTGTCTCATCTTTTATCCCTTCCTTCGTTTTTTTGAGGCGTTTCTTTTTGGGACCTATTTTTGCACTGTCTAACGAAGTATTCTTCGCTTTTTCATCACTTGCTTTTTTTTTCTTTTTGTCTGTCGTGTCCTCAACCTGATCTGCACTGACAGGGCCGCATTTGTCGAATTCAATTTCTTCGTCGAAGCAGAGAAGGGCTCGCCCGCTCAGTATGCGCTCCTTAACATCGTTCGTTTGTTTTTTTACTTTCTTTTCGTTAGGCTTCTTTTTAGCCGTGTTTTCCATTTGCGCTCCTTTTTGCCTCGCGACAGCGGGTTGGGAATTTTCCCCCGTTTTTCGAATATCCGCCTTTTCGCGTTTTGCGGCGTGCAATTAATCTACTTGGCGTCTCTACTTTGATATTCGTTTTCCCCCTCGACACGCCTCTAAATACATTCGGAAGAGGGGCAAATGCGTTTTTTGCGCAAGCGGGGCGTGGAAATCATTTCGCATGGGCGCAACCGAAATTGCACACGGTTTTACACTTGGTACGGAGAACTTATGCGCCTTGTGCGCACATGTATCCAGGCATGTAGCAATGTACGTGTGTAGGTGGGCACGTGCGTGCTGCTACTTCGCATGCACAGGTGGGGTGAGAATTTCGCTAGGCTCATACACATGTATACACGCGCATATGGCTTACGCGCATGGGAAAGTGTTAACAGAAGTTTCACGGCACTCGTTCGGGTGTCCCCATTTAACGCCGTTCTTAATTAAAACGAATCTATCGGGTGTATGTTCGGTCGATGCCCACCCCTTGGGTGTGTGTTCGGCTGTGGCGTATCCCCCAAGCGGTGTGTGCTCAGAGAAGAAACATCCATTTAATGTGTGCTTCGTTGAAACGTAATTAAAATGGGGTTTACCACAAAGGGTTTAAAAATGGAAAAAAAGAAAAAAAAAAGAAAAAAAGGAAAAAATAAGCATTAAATAGCTTTCTTCTCCCTCTTTATCCATAAAATGGATAATTTCCCTCATGTGACAAAATTCTTTAATTTTCTTTTTGCTTTTTTCAGCACATGAAAAGATGTTCCACGAAAAAAAAATTTTCATCCTTTTTCACATTTTCATGAAATTGTTTTAATA